CAGAGCAGGATCGGGTCATACTTCGGTCATTTTCAGTTGCAAGTAGCTAGAGGACACCTAATAATAACAATAACAATAACCGGGCGAAGCTCTTGATTTCTCACCACCCTGAGCAAAATCAGGGAAGACCTGAAGGGTTCAAGGAAATACTGAATCAGAAATCTGAAAGACCAATGAACCGTGCAAACCTCCGCTTCTGTGGTACAGAGACCTGGAAAGCGAGATGCGGCCTGGCCTCAACTACTGACTGCTTTTAAAGGGATCGCATTAGAAAGTCTTGGGTGGAGTAGGAGAAAAATGTGGAACAAAATTCAGAATCATAAAAAGACCAGGCTTACTGGTCAGCTAGAGAATGATGAAAATATGGAAGAACATAAAGCCAGTAACAGAGATGAGGAAACGTAAGGGGTGGCTCTGTTTGGTTTGTCAGGGCACAAAATGGCAGTCTTGATGTCAAGATGGGAAGGGATATTCAAGATCACTGAATAGTGTCATCTTAGCAAAATTCTGTCATGTCTATAGCAGACTTGCTCCCAACTCTGCACCCACAACACAGATGCACCGAGACCTTGGTAGCAGACAGACAATTCCAGACTCCTTGTCCCAGTTGATAGAACAGGTTTCCCTGCTTAGTCATGGGTATAAACTATGATTTTTTTTAATGCAGACCTCAGAAATTAATCTTGTTAAGTATTCTTATGACAATGCAGAAATTACAAACTTAAGTGCAAATATTAATATGAACTAGACACCGAGTACTGTATTCCTAAAATGCAGCTTAATATCTTGTTATTCCTCGCACTTTCTGTCAGGTAGGTTAGTGGCCAGGAAAATTAAGACAAAAGGAAGTTCAATAACTTTCACATTGTAAATTTGTAATGACTATAGTACCACTTCTGCTTACATCAAAGTAATGCATTCAACAGCCTAATGAGTAAAATATAGATATGGATTTTGGGCCGTAATGGGATTAATGTTACTAATAGCTTTTAAAAAATCATTTGATTCAATTCATGAGTTTAATATTACATTTAAATTTATAGATATATTTGAAGTAGTAATTCAGAAGACTTTAATTATATAGGTAGTTCACTTTGCATATTCTATTTTGCCTCATGATATTAAAACATAGATTATTTAAAAATACAGACTACTTTCCAAGCATCTCAAAAGCTTAAAAGGTTGTTGGCATAAAATATTTTATATTTTATAGGAGTTTCTTTCCATATCTTTTCATTATAAGAATTCCACCTGTGGGGGGAGTGTGGAGTGGAGACCTAAAGCCCATTTGTAGGCCACTGGAGATCCCCTTACAGAAGGGTCTCAGAGAGGAGACGAGCCAGTCAGGGTGCGATGTAGCAACGATGAAAAATACAACTTTCCTCTAGTTCCTAAATGCTTCCTCTGCCCTCCACATCATGATCCGAATTCTACCTTGCAAGTCTGGCTAGACCAGAGGGTGTACACTGGTACAGATAGGAACTGGAAACACAGGGAATCCAGGGAGGATGATCCCTTCAGGACAAGTGGTGTGAGTGGCGATACTGGGAAGGTAGAGGGAGAGTGGGTTGGAAAGAGGGAACCAATTACAAGGAACTATATGTGACCTCCTACCTGGGGGACGGACAACAGCAGAAAAGTGGGTGACGGGAGACGTCAGACAGGGCAAAATATGACAAAATAATAATTTATAAATGATCAAGGACTCATGATGGAGGGGGGAGCGGGGAGGGAGGGGAAAGAATGAGGACCTGATGCTGGGGGCTTAAGTGAAGAGCAAATGTTTTGAGAATGACGAGGGCAATGAATGTACAAATTTGCTTTACACAATTGATGTATGTATGGATTGTGATAAGAGTCATATGAGCCCCTAATAAAATGATTTAAAAAATAGAATTCCACCTCAATATTAGGTGGGAAAAATAGTTCTGATTTTATCACTATTTTAGAGCATGTGGATGGAGATTATGTCACACGACACAAACAGGGGCCATTTGCCAATGGCCTTCCCAATAATCTGTACTAAAAATGCAAGCATACGTGCTTGTAATGCAAGCAAAGCTCATGTTTTTTTCTTTTCTTATTGGTTAATATTCTTCCTGGCCCTTTCCCAGTACCGATGCATGCACATTGCTTCCCTGAAATTATACTCAATAGTTTGCACATATAAATTGTATTTTCTTACAATGTATACATGCCTTTGATGTTTCCATATCATTCAATATTCTTTTATATGTATTTAATGACTGGGAAATGTTTCATTATGTAGATGGGCTTCATTTATTTAACCAATCTCCTGTTGATTTGTTTCAACCTTCTTTTTCATAGAAAGCACTGTCTTGAACATCGAATGTAATTAAAATTTTGCATACATCCATAATCATTAAGATAAATACCTAAATTATAATTGCTAAGTTAAAGAGAATTAAAATGTCTTGTGGTTGCATTGCAGAAAGACATGTTTCAGGCCTCATACTACTATGCAAGAGGGCCCCTGGCCCCAGACTCTGAACACATTATGCATGAGCGCATCACCATTATTTTATTTGTCAATAGAGTAGAAAGTGGCATCTCATTGAAGAACACAATCTTTTGTGGCCACTGAGGTTGGATGTATTTCCAGTGATTTACACAAGGAAACTTGGGAGGGACACGTCATAGGTATCCCTGAACAGATGACAGGAACTCTCTAAGCTTGTCAATGTCCAGTGCTGTCCCTCGAGTACTTACATGGCATTAAAATATTACACGAAAAACTAATATTAAAGTTATATGTTTAATATTTAATAAAGGCAATGAAAAGGAAAAGTCAATCAAATTCTTTGATCAAATTTCCTTTTAAAATTGTTGAATTTAAAACTGATTATCTGTCTGTAAGCCTTTACCCAATTCACAAGAAGACATTTTAAATAAATAAATATTTGTCCTTAGTTTAGTGCAATTATTTTAAGTAGATTTAACATTTTTAGGTGATGACATTTTCGCTGAAAGAAATGTGTTTTGCAACTTGTATTTTCCAAAAGTTTTACAATTTAAATAGATTCATTTTTTCAGTTTCGTACATTGAACTGCTTTCCTAAAGAAATTTTATTCAAAAGGTTGTGCACCTTGAATTAAACTGATTTTTACCTAGCCTAGATTTTCAAATATGTTTTAAGTTCCAAAAGCACCTGAGTGACGTTTTTGGAAGTGAGCTTGTGAAATCAAAGACTTGTGATATCATTGGCAGGAAAAGGCCTTATTAAGAGTGAGTCACCTATTACTGTGCAACTTATTTCAAATTCAGTGGTTCGACACCACCAGCCACTCCCCTGGAGAGAGAGGGCTTCCTACCCTTGTAAAGAGTTACCATCTTGGAAATCCACAGGGGCGGTTCTACACTATCTTATATAAGGTCGCAGCAAGTCAACTTTCATTCTATGACAGTGAGCTTGCGACAACCGGCACTTACCTCACACGGGTCCTGGGGTCTCAGCATCTCTCATGGGCTTCTCGTGGAGATGTTGTGCAGACCTGGACCGCATTCTTTGAAAACCTACCTGTCGCTGAAAAATCTGCTTCGAAACCCCGTGACTGGCACGAAATCCCGTTCCTCTCCACGTGGGCTGAGCACAGCAGAGCTTTGCTCCGGGAGGGGTCCATGGAAGTAAGAGGCTGCAAACCAGTCCAATCTCCAACTTTCACTCCACTGGACTCCATTTAGCTCAGACAAAGCCCTGGTGGCACAATGGCTACAACACTTGGCTGTTAACCAAGAGAGTTGACTCGTCAAACCCAGCCACCAGCGTCTCTTTAAGAGAAAGGTGTGTTCACTTCCATAAGGATTACTGCCTTGGATGCTCACCGGGTATTCTGACCTATAGGCTCCCTAGGAGTCGGCATGTACTCCTCAGCAGGGGGTTTGGGTTTTCATTTGTTAGTATTTCACTTGCAGACCGGTTCCCTTAAAGGTAAGAGGGAAATGCACCAGGGGGTGACAACCAGGAGGTGGCCCTTTATTTACAGCAAGTAAAATTACCTCAACAAACATTTACTAGAATACAATGGTTTCAATGTATAACAGTTCCGTGAAGTTCCATTTCTTTTAACTATCAATAGTTCTGATTAAGCCCTTGGAATGACAAAATATCCAAATGGATCTATCTAAAGTTGCACTTTAAAATAACTCTAATTCTTCATTTGAAACAAAAACAAAAAACCTTTCATTTCCAGTGTTTTCTTTATAAACAAAATTCTCTGTTAATTTCAAATGAAAATCAGAAAACGTTGATGTTTTGTCATAAAGAAATGGACCAGTGATGTGGGTGGCGGTGCTGGGAGGGTGGGGGGAGGGTGGGTTGGAGGGAGGGAGCCAATCACAGGGAACTGTGTGTGGCCTCCTCCTGGGGGATGGACAGCAGGGGGGTAGGTGGGTGGGGATGTCGGACGGGGCAAGATATGACAAAATAATAATTTATAAATTGTCGGGTGCTCGTGGGGGGCAGGGGGAGCGGGAAGGGAGGGGAAAAATGAGGACCTAATGCCGGAGGCTTAAGTGGAGAGAATCTTTTTTGAGAATGATGAGGGCAATGAATATACAAATGCGCTTTACACAATTGATGTATGGATTATGATAAGAGTTGTATGAGCCTCTAATAAAACAATTAAAAATTTTAAAAAAGAAATGTGTAATCATTACTTTGTGTCTGAATCCCTTTTCCTATAAGTACTTAATTTTAACATTTAAAAATATCCACTGATTTGTATATATATAAATGTGTATATAATATATGTATCCAAAGTTTTTAACAACAAGTTTCAACATGACTTATTTTTAAAATGAGAATCACATGAATACTAGCTTTATATCACTTGAGAACTAAGTCAGACTGAAGCCAAATCTGAAGTGGAAAGGGTTCTGTGATTACTTTAATGTAGCCTATTTTGTTGTACAATTTATTGTGGTGTTCTTAAAACAACAGAGGCATAATTAATTATATATCCTTACCTTCTCATTGTAGGTCCCCCAAAAATCCAGAACAGAAGATCATAAAGAGGGTGATCGCACTTGAGGGGGACATTGTAAAGTAAGCACTTGAACTTTTGTTTTTGAGATCAAATTTAAAACGTGTAGGCTTTGCTCAATTTTAAATTACATGGTTTGGAAAATAAACCTCCATTGAAACATGACTAAAGAAACATTCCAAATGAGCTAGTGCATCGTTAATGGCCATTACCACCCATTTCAGGATAGAAGGCATGCACAGGAATTCCCTGGTCCTATGGTTACACTCTAAGTGTGGAGCACGGGGGAATAAATATGAATTTTAATGAAATTAACCATATTCTCTGAAATGATCCTAAAACATATTTCCAATATTAAAATTAGCATGCTTTGTAAAAATATGACATCAAAATTTATTTGAAAAAATTTCAGGACATTTCATTATTTTACAAGCAACTGCGGTATTCTGAGGGGAGCCTTTAATATGCGTAGAAATTAGTAAAATGGGAAAGAATGTGGCGTGTAGCTTCTGGATCAGTGCCACAACAGTAACTTTACAAATTAGCATTGTAATTATCAGTTGTTTTAACAACATATAGTAATGGATTGTTTATTCTACATGCTGATGAAGCTAGACAATGGAACAGCATTTGAGATTCAGCCAGCTAGTATTGGTGTGGCATGCTCTCTCTCCTTCTGATTGCTTATTTTGCGTCAGTTGTAGCCGGGCTTATGCCATATGGCTACTTTTGAAGATTGTATTTAGAAAGTTTTCTGTTTCTGTGTTATCAAAAAGCTTCATCTCACAGTACCACCATCAATTTTACAGCAGAATCAAGGTCATCAGTTATCCAAAGGATTGCCTACAGAACACTGGGGGCTGGGGGCCAAGATCTTTTCAGGAATCAGTGAGATCAGGACAGTTTTCCCCGTCTTTTCACTTTCATTCTCTCATGAGCATATGGTGAGATTTTTCAGAAATTTTACAAGTGAGGAAGAGCCTTAGGAGCCCTGGTGGTGCTGTGGGTTAAGTGTTAGGCTGTTAACTGCAAGGTTAGTATTCCAGGGGAGAAACAAGAGACTGTCTGCTCTCAGAAAGGTTTGCAGTATGGAAAGAGGGTGACTAAAGGCAACATGGGCAGTAGGTTTTGTTGTTGTTGCTGTGTGTGTGTGTGTGTGTGTGTGTGTGTGTCTGCGCGCATGCATGCATGAGAGAGAGAGAGAGAGAGATCTGCGGGAAAGGAAGGGTGGTGTGTGGTGGTGGTAAATGTGATTAGTGAGTTCTATATTTCCATCATGGGGCAATCAAATACAAAAGGAACAGAGGCGTCCGGCACGACTGACTCACTGAGTAGCTTCTAAAACCTAGCAGATAATTGATTGGAAAAATAGATTCATGTTTTTAATTTCTGATGTTTTAAAATAAATTGAAAATATATTTCCTTTGAAACTTTGGTATCTGAAGGTCCTCGATATTATGGGCTTTCAATTGGTATTTACTATATTCACACATTGTGTGTGTGTGATAACAGTGGAAAGTTTTAAGGAATATGTTGTAATAAAATATGTATTGAAATTTTAAATCTTCTCTGCTGCCCATTTTTTAAAATGCCAGAATATATTTAAAATGATAATAAAAATACTCCTCAGAACAATCAACTTTATGAAACCAAAAAGGGCACCAATTGGCCAAAAACAAAGGTCAGAAGGCAAGAAGGGGCAGAAAAGAAGGTTAAAAGGAAATGGGAGCTCCAGGGAGGAGGTGGGAGATATGCAGATAAATTACATGAATTGCAGAGAATGTCCTGAAGTAGAATATGTATACATTATCAAAGGAAAATCTAATTTTTATGTAAACTTCCACTTAAATCACCATAAAGTGCTTCAAAAAATACATGCTGTGTGCCTGATGCTATTAGTCCCTGGTCAATCAGTTCTCCAACTTGTCACGGGGAGTACTTTGATTTATGATGGAAACTTGTTAAGTTCCTCCTGTACCTTGAATAATATGGGGTTACCTAATAGGAAAATAAAGCAGAAATGTGGGTCACTAAAGAAAAAAAAATGTCTTGAAGTATTTCACAAAATGATCAAAGAATAAAAATAAGACTTGTTAGTCTATTTGCCATAGAATTTAAGGAGCACTGGTAGCATAACTCATTGAAACCCTAAGGGACAGGGGTGAACTGCCCCTGTGGGTTTCTGAGATTGTAATTCCTCATGGGAGTAAGTGTCTTTATGAGTCAGCATTGACTCAATGGCGTTGAGTTTGCTTTGGGGACTCTGGTGGCATAGCTTTTATGCAAAGGGCTGTGATGTGCAAGGTCCACCGTTTGAAACAAGAAGGCAATCATAGCCTCTCCATGGGAGAAAAACTGAGCTTTCTACTTCCATAAAGGGTTACAGTCTCAGAAATTCACAGAGGCAGTTCCACCTGCCCCATAGGCTCATTATGAGTCAGCATCAACTCATTGACAGTAAGAATGAGCATAATAGCTAAGCACTTGGCTACTAACTGTAAGGTTGGCTGTTCGACCCCAACCATGCCTCTGTAGGAAGAAGAGCTGATGATCTGTTCCTGGAAAGATTACAGCCTATAAAATCCCATGGGAAAGTTCCACTCTATTCCATGATGCCAAACAACTTGACAGCAACTGTGTTAGGCAAGGTTCTCTAGAGAAACAAAACCAGGAGACTTATATATATATATATATCAGCAAAAGGGAATGTAACAGCTAATTAGTCCACATAGCAGTACATAGACTTCAGTTCAACTCACTTCTGTGGAACAATTAATACACTGGAAGTCCTTCAACTCTCCTGGGCTTCTGGGCCCAAGGTCAAAGAAGCAGACAGCAGTCTTCCTTCAGGGAACACATGAAGAGTCTGCCCAAAGGCAGCAAACATCAGAGTGGGTCACCAACAGTCAGTAGCTCAAGAGATTATTGAAGCAGACCCAGATGGTATATCTAATGCAAGCCATGCAAGGCGTCAGGATCCATCAGCCTCAAGCTCAAGCTATGTACGCACCAGCAGTGTGGCGAAGCAGGTCTCAAAGGAGCTTCAAGCTTTAGCAGCAGGATCCACCAGTTGACTTGGCCCACAGGTAGCACAGCTCATGGGTTGAGGCAGAGAACTAGGTAAAGCAGCAACATACTCCAGCACACTCTGATCACCAGAAAGCAAGAGAGAGGAGGCGTGCCTTGCAGAGCCATTTATCTCTTGCCCTCCAGTCACGCTGCAACCTGATTAATCCCACATGTTCCTAGTGCCTAGGTTGGCACAATAAACCTACCTATCACAGCAACTAATAACAACAACCCTTATAAGATTTTGCAATATTTTTACTTTGAATTACACCCAAGTAGAGGGTCTAGATCTACTGCCATCCAGTCAACACCAACTCATGGCAACCCTATAGGGCAGGGTACAACTGGCCCTGTGACAGTCTGAGACGGTAACTCTTTAGAGGAATAGAATGCCCTTTCTCCCACAGAGCAGTGGGTGGTTTCAGACTGCTGACCTTGAAGTTAGCAGCCAATGCATAACCATTTTGTTACCAGGGCTCCTAGAGAGTACAGCAGAAACCATACTATTCATAGAATTTATGCTCTTTAAAGGCTCAATCTAATTGTCAATAGTCTACTAGTTAACTTCATAGGTTACAAAGAGGCCAATATGTAGTCAAATACACCTTAAAGAAGACCCATTTAAAGCCTGTGTACATGAAGAAATAAGGACCCCGGGACCTAACAGTCATGCTAGGCTCACTGGAGAACAAAAATGGCAGCACAACAGCACCTGTGCCATCACCTCCTGATGTGCTACTTTTGTCTGTCTTCTCTGGGTTTGAATGGGGTATGTGGGTATTGAGATTCAGAAATCCAAACTGTGTAACCAGGTTTTTCAATGAGCTTCATATAATCAAGTTATATTTCATGTACTTCTTTCATTGACAGTGGAGGCCTTAATGTCATGCATTTAATGAGCACAAGTCTAAACACAACTAAGTGTTGGAAAGCTAACCCCTAAGTCAGTGGCTCAAGCCCACCAGCGGCTCTGAGGGGAGAAAATCAGAGCGTCTGCTTTCCTAAAGCTGCACAGCCCTGGCTTTTTGATGTAGTCTAAACCCCAAAGAACCAAAATGAACAAAGGAGACATGGTTCTTACACTAGTGCGGCTACCGTAATTCTAGTGACTGGAGAGGAAGCCAGAAATATATAAAGCAGCACAAAATCCCAGGTCAGGAGTGAAAATTGCAATGAAAACAAGTAAAATCGAAAGAGGAGACTGGGGTTTGGGTAAGGTCCTGGGGTGCAGTTTTAAGTAGAAGCTGTTGAGCACACTGCCTAATTCAGGAAGGGAACTATCCTGGTATTTGGAGAACATTGTAGTAAAAATACAAATTGTCCAGAGGTACCAATTAGGTGAGTCCAAAAATAAATGCATAAATAAATGAAAAGCTAGACTAGTTGGACCTGACAGCTGCAGGAGTTAAACTGTTAAACTGCAGGAGGGAGGTTGAGGGAGGAGAGTTTTTTTGTGGGCTTTTCAAGGTCTTATAAGTCATAATAAGAACTTGGAATGCTATTTTAGTAAAATATGAAACCAGTAGAGGGTTTGGCATGACAGGATATGATCTCTGTTCTGAAAGGTTCGCCAGTCTGCTTTTTAGAGAATGTGTATGGACTGAAGGGGACAGTCTGACCCAAGGACCTGGTCAAAGCACTTTTCCCTTGAGATAATAACGTCTAACCTCTTCCCAAAGTAGGTGCTTTTGTTTATGACATAAATGATGGCTACTTTGGGTTGTGATTTCAGAATGACTCATATAAAAGCAATCACATTATTTGTGGTAATGGGCATTATGATTATATGGGTAAGATTATAAGTAGAGTTGAAATATTTGTTTAAAGATTTCATCCCCAAATTCTAAAAGCACATGCTTTAAAAATCACAAAACAAATTGTTTGAGTTTCTGCATTGCTCTGCTAGCAAATGGTCATTTTCTTTTTTGTTTTCAAATGGTCATTTTCTTAATACTAATCTAAATGAGTACAGTTATTTGTAACATTTAAAAGA